TGCTTTGGAAGAATGTACGAGTTATAACATCTTAGAAATCCGGTGCTCGGCGAGTGTCTCACTGCTATCTCTTCTCGTATTATTTTAATTAAGTTAGCAAGCTCTTTTCCAGTTGATTTCAAACAAGTAAACAACAACTCATTTTCCTCACTTCATACACACAAATGCATATCATTTGTATGTATGCAATGAGGAAAATGAGTTATTTCCTTGTTTGAAATCAACAGGAAAAAAGCTTGCTAACTTAATTAAAATAATACGAGAAGAAGTAGCAGTGAGACGCTCGCCGAGCACCGGATTTCTAAGATGTTATAACTCGTACATTCTTCCAAAGCAAGGAGAAACACTTGAAGAGAAGAAAAGTATGCTGATTGACATTAAGCTGAGAATGTATGACAAGGAAGATGATATTGCTGTCAACGAAAAACGACAAAAACAACTAATAGTTAAGTTAAGAAGAGACAATTGTTACATTGTAGGATTTTTTAGTCAAGGGATTTGGAAGGAGTTCAAAGGGGATGACAAACTGATAGAGAATGCAAGTCTCCTTTCTTTCACTGAAAACTACAATAATCTGGAGTCAAAGGCGAATAAAAAAATATTAGGACTCACACTCGGAAAAGAACCTCTCATCACTGATGTCTCAGATCTTCTTCACAACACAGATGAGAGAACAATGTCTGCTGCTTTGATGGTTTTGATCTTAACCATACCCGAATCCATCTAGTTTCATATCATATTTCATCACATTGTAGAAGATTATGAGCGTGGTGTACAAGTAACAGCGAAAATGAGTTTAATGGTAAAAGAGTGGAGCAAGGCTTCAGGACATACTGGTTGACAAACTTGAAGCCATAAAACATTTGGCAGTTCTTCTGAATGTTTCCATGATGGAAAAGTTAAAATAGTTCTGCTGAGATTCAATTCTTAGTTAATTTAGTAGTAGTGGATACTATTAAAGTTTAAGTTTATACTCCGTAGTATTTAGTACTTGGTTCATACTCAAAAAATGTTTATCAACTTTTTCTTCATTGGGTTTTGCTTTGGGGGTCTTGTATGTTTGTATCTTTAACTCATTTCATTGTTTATTTTTGTGGAAATGACACACTTTTAATGCAATACTTTAGTTTTTTAGACTATTTGAAATTTGTTTAAAATAGGATTATTCTGAGTTTAAATCGGGTCATGATCATCCAAGGATCAATATCAGACCTTAAAATTTCAAGGAGAGTGCAAGAAGACAAGTCAAAAAATGATTTGGAAAATTTATTCTTATACCTAGTCACCACAGGCCATACCAGATCGGGTATTTGATTGATTCAAGTGTCTAAAGTAAATCCACGGAACAAATGATCATGAAGAATACTTTGTGAAAATTTGCCTTATACCGATGAGGTAAATCGATATACCGGATCGGATATCAGCCCCTGTGTAACCTCCAAATTAATACCCAAAATAGATGCTAATAATAGCAAGTTCAGAAAGAATTTCCCAAAAATATTGGAGTTAAAAAGAATTTCCATTGTAGCGGGATGAAATAGTTGATAGGTGTTACCGTCACACTTTGTTCTTACTTAACCAGGTGCACATGCCAAACTACAACCCAAAAATAATCCAAGTATTTAAAGATTTAAATCTCAAAAACAAATTAAATGTCTACGGATGTTTTTAGGGAAATTTCCTAGGATACGACTAAAACTCATTGAGTTTCCTAAATATGACTAACTAAGTTTTTAGACATGTATGACCGAAAAATTCAAAAAAAAAAGAAAAATTGATTGTAATAATCTCAACCATTAGCGGTCCGCTCATAATAATCCCAACTATCGATTATTTTAGAATAATCTCAACTTTATGGATCTTCCGCCAATAATGATCCGATGTGACCGACTATAAATAAATTCTTATAGTTTCTAAAGAGATATAGCAGGTAATCCCTATAAATAATCCCAAATTTTAATTTTTACGTTTGATTTTTATTAAAAATTCATTTGTTAGAGTAGTAATATGCGGTCATGGACCATTATTGGCGAACGGTCCATATAGTTGGGATTATACAAAAATAATCAATAGTTGAGATTATTGTTAGCGGACCGACAAAAGTTGGGATTATTATTTTCAATTTTTCCAAAAAATAAAATTTCATTTATACTTCCTCTGTCCCTTATAACTTTGCCAATTTTGACCAGTACGGGGATTAATAAAGTAAAAACCGTATAGTTGAGGTTTGTGCAGAAGAGAATATTAACTGGAACCACAAATTTTTTACTTAAAATGAAAAGTGGCAAAGTTAGTGGAACATTCAAAAATTAATGTTGGCAAAATTTTAAGGAACGGAGGGAGAATTTAAATGTTGAATGACAAAAGTACCCTTATTTAAAACATGTGCATTTTACACTAATTTCATCCAATTAAATTACTGCACTTTATATTGCCACAACTGCAGGATATTACTGCACATCCGGTAATAATCACTGCACTTCCGCCAAAATTAATTTTCTTCTAATTGTAATAATTAATACTACGAGTATAAATACTTTTGACAATGTAATTCAATGTTTTTGTCCAAAATAATGCAACAAAATCCATCAAAATAAAAACATTGTTATTAACATTACATTACTAATAATGAGGCAATTTTTATTATTTTTATTTTATTATTAAAGAAAAAATTGCCAAAATAAATAATGATATGCTTTTCAAATATTAATTTATTTGGATGAACTTGCAACATCAAACATTAAATAAAAAAGCTAAAATATTCCGTATTAAATAAGAAATTGGAAAGTAAAACTGTAAAACAAGAACTTATGTAGATAGCAATATGAGTAAATTCCCAAAATGGGACCAAAACTTAGGAAAAGTGCCACAATAGGACTACTACTTTTTCGTGTGTTATCGTAGGACCAAAACTAGGTTGGAATGTCAAAAATGCCCTGCAAAGCCCTTCGGAGTGAGTTCGCAAGCTGCAAACTCTGCGATAAATACGGCTACGATGAATACCGACTCTGATGAACGGTGACCTTGCTACATGCTCAGAGGAGCTTCTTCTTCTCATGCTATGTTTTTCTCTTCTTCCACATTTCATCCCTTTTCTTCTTCTTTTGAATTTCCATTTTGTTATTAATTTTGATTATCTTACTTTAAACCATTCTTATTATTTTTCTCATGATTTGAATTTGAAAATGCCATAATAGGTCTTTTATTGAACACTAACCTCAAAATAATGTCACTGTTGTGGCAAATATTTATCAACATGACAGTTTTACTCTACAGGTTAATTACATTTTCAGAGTGAAATTGTCAGTTTCAAAGAGTTAAGAGTAACACAGACAATTCGATGACATTTTCAAAACAAACATGGCATTTTTAAAAGGTGAAGAAGGAGGAGCGATTGTCAGGTTTTTAGGTCTATAAATGTCATCTTCATGACATTTCATGACATTTTTAAAAAGTTGAAGGAGGAGCGAATGTCAGTTTTTCACGTCTGTAAATGACATCTTCATGACATTTCATGTCATTCTTAAAGAGGTGAAGAAGGAGGAGCGACTGTCATGTTTTTTGAGAACCAAAATGACACTTTTTAAAAACAAAAACACTGGAAGAAGAGCATGCAGAAGAAGAAGAAGAAGAAGAAGAAGAAAATATAGAAGTAGGAAGAGCACTATGTATGAAGAACACCTGAAATTATGAAATCAGTGTTGATGCGCCATTATTAAAATTTGAAAGATGAATGTTCCGATCAGATCAAAGAGGAAGAGAAAAGATGAAGGAGTGGCAGATATGTTTCCAATTAAATCAGAAAAGGGGGAAGATGAGCGTGAAATTTCTGAAGGAAAAAAAAAAGAAACATAAATGAAGTGAGGAGAGGAATTAGCTGGGAATTGCGGAAGAAGAAGATGCAGGTGCAGGGATAAAGGATACGAGCAGGAGAGAGCGAAGGGCTTTTTCGACATTACAGAAACGACGACAACTCAAAATAGGAGCGGATGACTCCTATAATGGGAAAAAACATGGTAAGTCCTACTTTGACTTTTTGTCTATGTTTTGATCTTAGGGCAAATATTTCTAGCAATATAGCATGAGTGCAGGACCGGCGAAGAAGAAAGAAGACCAAGGAAGCGGTAAAGAACTAGAGACTCAAACTGGACATTGAAGAAGAATAAAAAGGAGAAGAAAGAAGGAAGAGAAGGAATTGAAGAGCAGGGAAGAGACAAGAAGAAAAGGGAAGAAGAATAAGGAAGAAGACCCGGCCGACAACTTCTCCGTTGACGAAAAGCAATCCGACGATGATAAAGGGCAGACCGGCAATGAACACATGGCATCTCAAATCAATACCGTCCAGAAGAATTACTCCAACTCGCTCCATCTTTGCAAGCCGGATATGGGTGATATGCGGCGCACACACATTTCAGTTGTTGGGAAAACTGAGAGAAAACAAAAAAACTAACAGTTTAAGGAGAAAGATATTGTTTCACAGCATAAAAGACGACGAAAATAGAAGGACTATCATGCGGTGCGGGAATGATGGGTACAAGATTTCTTGGAGCTGCTCTCGTCTGGACTTGCGATTACTCTTGTCCAAGGAATCCGTAACAGTTTAATTAAGGAGAAAGATATCTTCAAATATTCGAAGTATTCCGTAAACAGTTACGAGGAATATAATAAATGATGAAATTTGAGTCGGATGAATATATTTGGCATAGTTCATTGATACTACTATATCGAACGAGAACAAATACAAATAGGTAGATTCTATGGTACCCTTAAGGTAGCATATCTTTGTCCACATGGAGCGATCAGAATGTTGCGGTTGAATTATTTAAATCTAAATTCAAAATGATATTATGATTTGGACCAATCATGTGAGTGGTAGGTATGATACCCCATTTTTTAAATGGATACCGTAGTTGTCACCGTAAAAATAAAGTAAATCATAGACTAACTGATACATAATTAAAAGATACTCGTATGAAATCGTAAGTAATTCAGTTGGATCACTTACTCCGAGTATCCATCGTTTTGATCCATCATATCAACTTGGCTTGTAACTCTACGAATGTGAAAAGCTGATGTAATCGAGCTGAGACATAAGCATTACTCCGTAAGTAGTACTCCGTATACTTTTAGCATTATTCAAAATAGTATATAATTATACTCTAGAACACATTTAAATCAAGTAGTTTCACATATATTAATGTATATATATGGAACATTTATATACCCCTAAATTATGTGACAAGGGACATGCATACAGCCTTTCTTTTAACTCTTTACTTTGATTTTTCCTTCATCAATATACTGGGTTTCTTATCCTAGCTAGCTACTTGATTATTTGGAGTTGAAACCCCAGACAAAATGAATGTGAAACTAAAGACTAACCCAGAAACAGAGAACGCAATGAAAGGTACTGGAGATCGTAGTTCCAAACTAAAACCTGCACGCATTTATGATATTCGTCGTCATTGAGAAGAACCAAAACTTGTGAAGAATAGAATGTGGGTTATATATTGAGAGCGAAAGAGCTAGAAAAATGCTTATTTAGACAGAATGTTGGTTTGAGAGCTTCTTTCTAGGTTTTGGGTACTCCCAAATTTCTGGACGTCAACATTGTGCCTGATTACTGGTCCACATAATATTATATAATTTTCCATTATAAATTTTTAAATGGCTTATGAAAGTTTGCTAAAATAATAAGAAAAAAAACGTAGTCAACAATGATGGTCAAGGTTCTTGATCTCTCTCCATTTACTCAGGCTTATGAGAGGATAGCAATGAGGGAAAAAAGGAAAAGCACTGCATACTTTTTCACACTATTGGCTTAATTTTAATTACATGAGTGCAGAATAATCGTACAAATAGAATTAAGCTTCTAGAATGTTGAAAACCATAACAAAAAACAACTTTTTTTATGAATAAAAGGAAAATATATATTTGTATTTAATAGTACAGCATACCTTGTCTGTCTCTGAGCTCTTAAAGCAACTTCATGTTTTTTCACTATCTTCTCTCATTAGACATTATAAAGTTTTGCAGCGGTGGTTATACTTAAGTTAGAATTATGGAGTGGTGGAACCAGGACTCTTGATTTGCGGGGCTCGATTAACAAAGAAATCATATACATCACGAAGAAATTATTCTATTCGAGGCTTTTTGACATTATTTTCAACGTTGGGGTGATATTATCTGAGGAAGAAATTTTATTATTCGATGAAGAACCATCAATTTTGGATAAAATCGTAACATAGACATTCTTTCTAAAAGAACCTTGAAATACTACAATTAAAGCAATTATAAGAATTTTTTTAGCTCGCGATTATAAGAATTAACAATTGATTAATTGTTAATTTTGAAATACTACAAAAAATTAAAATTAACAATTACTAAATTAAAATTAACCTTTAACAAATATTTTTCAGCCCTACAACATTACTATTTACCGACCATTACAATTTACAAATACTATCTGAGGGCTTCTGGTTTGGGGCGCACCTGGTTTGAGATTTGAGTGATTGAGGGTTGATGGGTCATGGGCTTAATTATTTGGGTTGCAGCCTGTAGGGGTTGGTTAATTAAATTTAATATATATTATATTATACTTCGTATATATATAAAAAAGAAATCTGCAGGGGCTGGCGCACCCCCACGCCCCTGGTTAGTTGACTTACTTCCGCCACTGGAACTATGTGCTCACCATGTTTATCCGATGTAAGTGATACATATATATATATATATATATGTATGTATGTATATATGTATATATATATATATAGGGAATGATTCAGGTAAAAAGAGGTCTTAACGTGCAAAGTGAAAAGTTTACACTTTTTCATGTTTCGCCTGCACTTTTTCTCTCGAGAATTCCAGACATGAACTTTTGTCTCTATATATATATGAACTACGTACAGGCTACTTCCAACATGGTAGCTAGATCCAAGAACCTCGGCAACAGTGCATTGATGCAATACTAATCTAATGCTAGTACTACCTCCGTCCCGGAATTATCTCCTTATTTGACTGGGCACGGGTTTTAAGATAGTGGAAAATGTGTGGTAGAAAATTGTGCAGAGGAAAGAGAAATGTGTAAGAATGGTTGTGAACCACAAATTCTTTACCAAAAAAGGAAAGAGAAGATAAAATTGGGACGGACCGAAAAGGAAAGAATGAAAATAATTTCAGGACGGAGGGAGTAATAAGTTTGGTCAAAATATTGATGTGAGATTGTCTTTTTTCTTTTTTAGTGAAATGGATCAGCAAAATATACTTCGTATAGTATAAGGGGGTGTTTGGATTTGATTCTTAAAACTGCTTCTGCTCCTTCAGGGAGCAGAGGCAGAAGTTGGAGTGTTTGAGTAAAAGACAGAAGTGATTCTGGTGCTCTAATTTACTCATAGAATCAGTGTTTTTATAAGATGGGGGTGACCATCTTTTAAAAAGAAACAGAATCATAATTAGTTCCAAACACCCCTTAATATGACCAACTTTGGGAGATGGATATGCATGTACAAGCTCGGCAACTATACGGAGTAATACTTTCTATGTCAAATAAAAATCTCTGCAACAATAAGTTTGGTCAATTTCTATGTTGGCACGTAATCAGACTTTCAGACTTTAACTTTTTTCCTTTTTAGTGAAATAATTAATGTACTCATCAACAAAACGATCAGCATGTAGAAGTACTAGCTACTAGGCTACATACTACGTACAGAGTATAAAATTGCTTTCTGTTCACGAACTATACTCATCTTCTTACTCTACGTAGTACTTGGCGCGTGCATCGCGCGACGGTTAAAGTCTAATCTTAGGGAAAACGAGAAAGTTGCATTGTATAAGAAAGATGTGAAAATTTATTTTATTCAATTTTATGGAGTTGTATTGGTTATGGTTAGCCTATGCACCGAGTTACGTGAGAACCGGATGTGGCAATAACGCCCCTTATTTCCTAGGTAAATAGTTTTTTTTTCAAAAAAGTTCCAAATAAAGAAGTTCTACACACACGGAGTATAATCTAATGTTTTGACCAAGAAAGTATACGTCTGTTTCAAAAGGTATTCCAAGAAAAGAAGTCGTTCTACAGACGGACTAAATTTGTTTTGACCTAGAAAGCATACACTTGTTTCAGAATATTTTCCAATAAAAGAAGCCATCTACATACAGACTAAATCTGCTTTGACCTAGAAAGTATACATCTATTTCAAAAATCAGAAAAACAAAACGGAAAATCAATTGTTTCTAGTTCAAATAGTTCAATTGGGTGTTTATTATGTATGCATAAAAGAAGGCGTAAAACTTAATTACCCGATTACAGTCCTCAAGCCAGCCCTCTTCTTCGCAAACGAACACCCATTTCGCAACCTTATCCAATATTCTTTTCTGCTCAGGACCTCTTCTTTAGCTCCTATAATCTGGTTATCCATATCAGCCAATAGCCTCATAGGTTCAACCTTGAGGTTTTCTAAGAAAATGAAAATAAACATTCTAAATAATGAAGTAGATTATAAAATGAGAACGAGTTAGTTAGTTAAACATACACTAAAATAGAAAAGTAAGATTTGATATATCATAACATCACATGAGTTCCTATTAATTGTATCATTACCACGTAGTAATGAGAGGCCCAAAGGAGGCCACATCGTCAAACGGAACATTAGACGGAAGATGGCGAAGGTTGGGCACTGTATACACGGAAATAGGCCAACTAACTTCCTTAGAGCTTTTAATAGTATAATAGGATATATATATATATATATATATATACACTCCCTCCAAAAAAGGTTCGCCAAATCGATTTTGTTGTCAATGACATCCAATTTTGACCAATGATATTTTTAATACGAAATTATTTTGAATATGAAAATTATATCAAAATGTTCCTTATTCAAAACATTTTCATAAAAGTATATTTTTTTTACTCTAGGTGGGTTTGGGGGAGGGAGATTAGATGGGGGTCCTGAAGTAATCAGGGCTGAAACTCACTTCAGTTTCAAACCCTTATTGTGCCTAGCGGGTTTCGAACTCGAGACCTTCAACTAGACACGATAACCTCACAACCAGCTAGACTGGAATACTTGGTTTTTTCATAAAAGTATATAATTTATATATTATATACAAATATAATAATTAAAATCATTGACCAAAATTCATCATCATTGTCAAGAAAAGTCAATTAGCAAACCTTTTCGACGGATGTAGTATATATATATAGGCCCACATTTCTCTTAATTCAATTCTTTCTCGTACTGGGACATATACCTATACTCCTAGTCTCTTACCTAAGGCCCTGTATTTTTATCATTTGATTTGGCAATTGCTCAAGACCCAAAAGATATGCCACAAAAGACAACCTTTTCAACATGATAAAAATATATACGGAGTATATGTATGTACACATAATGCACATTGTATTGCACATTTTCTTATTTATGTTGTGCATGGTTCTATTTTACATAATGCACTAACTCTAAATTTGTTGATTGAGAATAGGATGTGGTTCCAAGAGACCACTCCATAACGTGAGAAATTAGAATATTCTAAAATCATGTACATTATGGTTCATATATGAAAATGCACATTTATAATTAAAGTAATGCAAAATTTAAATTTGCACATTTATGTTAAACTTTTGTACATCTTGAAATGTACATTATCCAATTTTTTTATATGCATTTCTATTTTGCACGATGCGCGATACCTAAATTCAACGCTCCAGAATCATTCTCGTTTAGCTTAATTTACTAGTTAACCTACAAACTAATCATGATCACTCGTTTAGATTAGATTATCGTATGTTTCATTTAGCCAACTAATTAAAAGTCAGTGTGTTTCGGTCAATTACTCAACTTCTATTATGGAAATTTCAGGCCAGGATTGGAATTATCCCTTCTTCTCCGAGTCATATCATATAATATGTCGTTGAAGTCTCCGATCAACATCCATGGAAACCCATTATCCTGTGCCAAGTTTCGGATCAAGTCCCAAGCTTCTCGCCTTCTGCTCATTTCCGGGAAGCCGTAGAACCCCATCAGCCGCCACCACTGCTCCCCCTCAACCAACCGCAGTCTTCAATGGACGAAATTTCCTTGGTTGCCAATGACTTTCAGTTCAACGCCTTTGTTCCAGGCCAGTAACAACCAATCACTCTGCCCTTCGCTATCCAATCTAATAATGTGTTGATCACCGTACGATCGGATCATCTCCTTCGCTCGCTGACACCACACCTTCGTCTCCATGAAGAAAACGATGGATGGACGATGTACTTGCATTGGATCAAATCCGTCAAACACTGAGTGGTCGCCGGCCTGCCTAGCTAGACCCCTGCAATTCCAGCTCAAAACACTCATCCTATTCTGTCAAAACCCAGCATGGTATACATGCCGGCCACTAAGAAATTCGCCGCCAAAAAATATGTTAGGGATAAATTAGAATAGATTAACCTTGTGTATGAAGATATTAAAATGTGTACAATTGTTGTTAAAATAATGTACACTTCAAATGGACATTTTCTAATGTATGATATTAAACGGTTTTGTTTTACATAATATATGGTATCGAAATCTGACACTCCAGAATCATTTTTTTTTTCTCTCATAAGATCATGTTCTCATTACACATACTTTACTTTAATGTTCAAATATTGCTCCTTCCCGCGGTGCCAAAATATTCACATATTTACACAAATATATTTTACTGACAACTTTATGTCGCTAAGTTTCATGATATATATGGAAGTGTCATTAATACTGACACTTTCTCTATGACACTGAATTCGGTGTCACAATTTCTGACCTTTTTGTGGCATTTATCGTGTGTCAGTAAAGCTTTTACTTAAACTAATTTCGTGTCACTATAGATTGTTTTTCTAGTACCATCATATTTTAATATAATCTTATTCAATAGTGACCCTTTCGGAGTCATCCTATGTAAAATCTAATGCACGAAAACGATTATTCTCATTTTTCAACGTTAAAGACTAATTTTTATTGGATGCAATATGTGTGTATTAGGATTTAGGAACCATTATATTAGGAGTAATAATTGCAACATTGTATCCCTCTATAATAAAATGTTGCAATTACTGCTAATAGTATGATACGTACTCACCTTCGTAGTTTTCATTTATTTGCAAATATATTCTCTTTAGAATCTTATATGAGTAAATTACCGAAATAGGAATAAAGTATGGCTAAAAATCACAAATAGGATTACATTATTCAAAATTCACTAAACATGACTAACTTTGTGTGTTTGGATAAATATACCCCTATACCTTGCTAGACTGTCCATCCCAACCACCGTCGTTGGCCTCCGGCCTCCGGTCTCTGGCCACCGCCTAACTACCCTGCCTACCATCTCTGTAGGACTTCTCGGTCACCAACGGACTGCCTCGGTTGCCCAAAGGAACTAGGGGGTGATATGCACTAACTAGTAGTGCATAAGTGTATGTTTTTATGTTGAATTTGTGTGTATTGTTTATCGTTTTATTTAGTTTGTAAACATTTGTGTGATTTTAGTTGTAATTGTATTTTAATCTTCATTTATAAGTTGTAAAGTAGATTTAGGATTTATGGTGTTGGAAAAGAGGACTTTGAAGAGAAAAAAACAAGAAATTTGACTGCTCAGGAGCAAAACCTGACCGGGTAGAAATCCCCACCCGGTCGGGCAAGATTTAACAACCCAAGAAGCAAGGAAATTGCCAGACCCGGTCGGGTCAGACATGACCCGAGACAAATCGACGTGCAGAAACATGAGAACATGGTGGATTATCTGATTTTGATCGGACCCGGTCGGGTAGGCACTTGACACAGTCGGGTACCCGGCCAAATGTGTTGAAAAACACATATAAATAGCACACTTTTTCTTCTCTAAAAATCATCTCTTCTTCCATACTTTTAAGCTCAATTTAGAATAGCATTTCTTTATATTTTTCTAGCTATGTTTAGTCTCTAAATGATGAGCTAAACTTTCATTCTTGGTGTTGCTCTTGAAGCTTGTTGATTATTAAAGTTGTGAGTTATTTTCTTAATTTCTTCCCTTGAATATTAATTATTAGTTCTTTCCTTAATACTATCTCTATATTAATGTTGGGGAGTGTTGCTAAGATGACAATTAGTTAACATCTTGACATTAGTTAAGTAGTATTTTTTTCTTCCTCTATATTAATGTTAGGGAGTGTTGCTAAAATGACAATTAGTTAACATCTTGATATTAATTATAGTAGGATTCATCTCCTTTAATAATATTCTTCCTTGAATATTAATTAATTCATATTCATATTTCATATTCATATTTTGAACATTACTTAAAGGATCAACTAGTTTTGTTTCATATATTAATTATTACTAGAAACGATCGACGAACCGATAGTTAATCGTTGATGATTTCACAAGTAAGTAACTTCGGTTTATTAATGCACGGTCGTGATTGATAAACTTAAGATGGATTAATTTTGTTGGTTAAACAGAAACCGTTGTGTTGAGGTTATCAATCTCAATTGATTTCATCAAGGAGTTAAGAGATTATATGCTACTATATGGCGGTGTTCTATACTTGACTAATAGTAAGGGTTATTAATGAACGGTCGTTGTTAATAACTACTCTCGTTGAATTGGATACACTCCTCGATTGAGTATTCGAGAGGGACGAAGTTATAAATATAACGATGATCGACTAAAATATATCAACAAGTGGAAAGTAGCAATGTCAAGTTCTTTTATCTTTGAATTAAAACACATATAGGTTGTTCATCTTAGTTTTTAAATTAAATCATTCAATCCTAAAACCCACATTTTATTTATTAGTTTCATAAAAAGAGAATTATTCCTTTCCCTGTGGATACGAACTCTACTTCACCTATACTACGTATTAGTTCTAGTATTGAATTTATTTTGACGCACCGTGACAAAGTGTCTGTCATTGGGCAATTAATTAACTAGATTAGGGATATTACGGGTAGAAAATTAATGATTAATCTTATTTGTGAAAGATTTAGGTTTTAGTCCTATATATTTGTGCAATTATATTTCCCTTTAGTCCTATTTAGGGTAATTACAATTCTCATTGTCCCCCTATAATTGTCCCATTTTTTTCATTCGTGGATGTCCTCATATTATTATCTCATACCATATTTGGTAACATTTGTGTGGCTCTAATTCATTCTTACTTTATTCCAACTTTATCAACTTATTATCAACCACATAACTCTACTTTTCTTAAAAATCACATCACTCTCTTCCGTCCCAATATTAGAGGGAGGAAGTAGAAATTTTTTATTTATATGGGATCAAGCAAAATATATCGAATAATTGAGGCAGGCCATATATATTTTAAAAAAGAGACAATACTATTGCGGAATATAAATTTACATTGAATTTGATCATCATTACATTTTATTCACATTAATGCGTAGGCAAAGATGCATTTGAATTGCTTGTACTCATAGCCTATCATATATATGTCCATTGTGCATGTGACTGAACCAAGTTATGTCAAGCATGACTCGACCATATTAATTAAACTAGTACAACATGAAACCAGATCAAACTAGTTGAGATTCTTGAAGGCACACCAAAGCAGTTCTAATTTTGGCAACTAACCATACAAAACTAGTTGAGATTGTATGTTACTACGTACACAATTATACAAGTGAAAAGACACAATATGAGCATTAAATTACTGCGGTAGGGAATTGAAATAGTTGGCTCCAGTAA